CTGTGCTCTGTTTTTCGGTTTCGTGCGTGTTTTTTTCGCCAACTGATCAAGGACGCTCCTCGATGGTCCTCGCCGAAGGAAGAATGCGCACGTCCGAGCGATGCCAAGGCCCCGGGACCCCCACAGATCGATCCGGTTCGAAAAACTGGCGCAGAGAGATGGGATCCGTGGGGGGGCCAAAAAGGTACCAATACCGCTACAGTCGGGGCCTCTCCACGGGTGCGCTCTGACCAGAATGTCGAAGCGAATCCAGCAGCGGCGATGCGAGGACCTTCCAGGAGGCCCCCCAAAGAGGGGACCACGGGCGAAGGGCGAAGGACTACGGGGACCTCCTCTGAATCCAGGTCTCCAGCCTTCCCAGAGATCCGATGTCGTGATTTTGTTTCCATACGCGGTCCCCGGAAGTCTCGACCCATTCCCCAGGACGGTTTTTTCATCCCGACTCGTCTTTAAACGGTCCCGAGGCCCGGCGAGGGCCCCTATGGGCCGAAATTTCAGAACAACCTCCGTCTTGATTTTTTCAAGACGCAGGATCCCTGGGTTGACTTTTCGCATTCTTGCAACAGCTGTCGAGACGTCGGACCTCAGGGGAGGCGGGGCGAAGGGAGCGCCGGCGTCCGCCACCGCGGCCGCGCGCGCGCGGCCGCGCGCGCGCCTCGGAGGCGTCGGCGGTGGGGCCATGGCCCATTCGGATGATGACGAGGACGTTCCCGGGGTTAGTTCGGTGACCACGACGGCGACGACGACGACGAGGACCACGACGACGACGACAACGGCGACGGCGGAGGCGACGGCGGCGACGACGACGACGACGACTACGACGGCAACGACGACGACACGACGAACACGATGACGGCGACGACGACGACAACGACGACGACGACGACCCCGACAGCGACGACGACTGCGACGACGGTGCCGACGACGACGACGAAGATGATGACGAAGACGTTCTGGAGCCAGTTCTGTGACTATCCTCCTGTCTTCTCGCCCCAAACCAAGCCCCTCGGGTTCCGAAGAAATCGCGACGGGTTTTTTTCGCCATTTTCGGACGCCCACGGGCCCTCACGGGGCCTAGGGACCGTCAAACGGGATGGGAAGCCGGCCCCGGGGAGTGGGTCGAGAACTCTGGGGGCCGGCGTTATGAACAAACCATGACGTCGGAGGTTTTGGCACCATAAGTCTCATCGGGAGCGGCCAAGAGGGGGATGTCCAAGAGGGGGGGGTGCAAATCATGACCGGCGGCACGTGCGCGGCCCAACGGGGGGACCTGGGACGTAATAGAATGAGAAGAAGCGCCATGAAATCTGAAGAAAAATCACGGCCCGCGCCATGAAATCCACCCCCCCTAGTCATCACCCCCCTCTCTTCCGCTCCCCATCTCAGGAAAACCATGCGCGGTGGTGCGCAAGCAGCGCCGCTGCGCTCTCCCGCGCGCCGGCAGGCTTCGGAAAGGACGGGCGACGGCAGAACGTACAGTAGGGCTCGGCCACAAGGGACTTCCGCAAGAAACCCAACTTTGAGATTCCAGGACGTCCACTGACCTTTTGGTGAAGGGGCCCACAGACACACAAATACTACACACAAATAAAATGATTCCCAATATTTTCGTATATTTTTGTTTTTTTGTCTTCCCCCCCAACTCCCATATTTTCCCATCTTTTCTGGGGAATCGACGATAAATTGTGTCTGTGTGATTTTTCCTTCCCGACTTTGGTGTGGGATCGCCACGCCTTCCATCGCAAGACCATCGAACCCCCAGGAAACCTAGGGCACCCTGGAGGCAAGCAGGGCGTCCCTTGCCATGTGTTTCCACTGCGCGCCGAGCGCGAGCGCATCAACCATTGAGCAAGGGCCGACCGTCCCAGAATTGCTATAGTCCTACCACGACATGTTCTTAGAACCCAAAACTGTTCCAATGACCAAAACCAAGTTCTTATAACATAAACCCGATGTGATAGAACAACACAGCCCCGGCCAGATATGTTCCAAAAGCACTTCGTGGGAACCGCAGAATCTTATAACATTGTTTGGTAGGGCCATAGGCGAGCCAGGACGTTTCGCCACTGCTGAATTGCTGCTCGCGGCCGCTAGCGGGCAGCCGCGCCGCGTCCACAGCCGAAAGAAGCCAGGCCTACGTGGAGCAGGGCGGATGCCTAAACTACAGCTGGCAAGCGAGGACCAGAAACGTGGGCGAGCAGGTGGGGAACCGAGCGCGGGCGGCGGACGGGCAACGAAGAAGGACGGGCGGCTAACGCGGCACAGCTCAGAAGTCTACGACCAAGCCCAAGCGCACCAATGAACTCGTCACCCTCGATGAACGTGCAAACCGGCAAGCCACTGCTTGAAACCAGTCGTCTGCGAACAAAACCCGTGAGACCGAGCATGGCCCGCTGCCCGCTGCCGACGCCCCGGCGAGCGAGCAACGTGCGCCGCGCCCGCGCGAGAACGCCGCGTGCCGCGCGACACCTGCGTGGCGCCTGCCCGAGAGCGGCACTCCGCCTCCTCCTCCTCCTCCTCCTCCTCCTCCTTCTCCTACCTGTTCTTCCTCCTCCTCCTCCTCCTCCTCCTCTTCCTCCTCCTCCACCTGCTCGCGCGCGGCACCGCATCTGACAGCTCAGCGCTCGGCAAATGGGCGCCGCGCCAGCAGCAGCATGCACCGCTGCGCGGTTTTCAGCAGCAAACAAGCGCAAACATCAGCAACAGCAGCCGCGAAGCGCACCATTCATGATGCGCAGCGCTGAGGCGAGCACGGCACTGTAGCATGTCGCTCGCCGGGTGCGACGCGTCCCGCTCGCGCCACGCACGCTGCAGCGTAGTGTCGACGACGGGCCCTCCATGTTGGCAGGGCAGCGGCGTCCGCTTTGCTTGTTTGATGGGTGCGGGGGACCGCCCCGTGTGGCGCGGGCGGATAAGAGTAAGGGGGCGGCGGGGACGTCGGCAGTCTGCGAGGCTCTGAAGAAGCCCGCCGCAAGTGCTGTATTCTTACGCATTGTACAACGAGCCCGCCGCAGGCGCCGATTTTCGTGAAAACAATGTGGGTGGGTCGCGGGGTGGGTCGCGGGTGGGTCGCGGGGTGGGTCGAGGGCCAGGTCGCGATTGAGTCGCGGGTGGGTTGCGGGTGGGTCGCGGGTGGGTCGCGCGTGGGTCGCGGGCGGGTCGCGGGCGGGTCGCGGGCGGGTCGCGGGTTGGTCGCGGGTGGGTCGCGGGGTGGGTCGCGGGTGGGCCGCGGGTGGGTCGCGGGCGGGTCGCGGGGTGGGTCGCGGGTGGGTCGCGGGCTGGGTCGCGGGGGGGACGACTCCAAACAACAACAAGCAACAAGCAACAAACAACAAACCACCACCACCACCAACAACAACACCGACAACACCACCACCACCACCAACAACAACACCACAAACAATTACAACAACAACGACAACAACGGCAACAACGGCAACAACAACAACGACAACGACAACGACGACGACAACGACAGCAACAGCAACAACAACAACAACAACAACAACGACGACGACGACGACAACAACAACAACAACAACAACAACAACAACAACAACAGCAGCAGCAGCAGCAGCAGCAGCAGCAACAACAACAACAACAACAACAACAACAACAACAACAACAACAACAACAAGAACAATAATCCGCATCGCGGAATCCCACTTCAGCCATGCACCCAGGGACAGTGAATGACCGCTCGGCCCCTCGCACTCTGATATGCCCATACGGAAGATGAGAGAGGGGAGGGATGATGAACATGAAGGGGCGAAGGAGGAATGAGCAAGGAGGAGGAGGAGGACCGGAGGAGCAGAGGGAGGAGCAGGGGAATGAGGAGGAGAGAGGGTGGGGAACGGATTGGGACGGGGGGAGGGGAGGAGAACGGGACGAGAAGCAGGAGAGGGAGACGCGGGTTGTGTGACGAGGAGAGGGAGGCGGACGTGGAGCGGAGAGAGAGGTAGGTAGGGGAGGTGCGAGGAGTTGGAGAAAATGGAGGGAAGGGGGGGAATGGGGGCAGAGTACGCTGAGGGGGAGTGACCCCAGACGATCCCGAGAATTCCCAACTGACCCCCACGACGTCCCCAGAAAAGGACCACCATTAGGCAACCCCAGAGATCCCTCGAGAGGCCGAAGCCGTTGGAGGCCCTCGCGCATACCACGAGCACCCAAGCTGAGCGCACCGCGAGGGAGAACGGGCGTCCCCTTTCTCATCTTGCAGGCACCACGCTGACGTCGACGTACGTCAACACTCCGAGAAGAACCCCCCGCTCTCTCGCACTTCGCCCCGCGCCATCCTCTTCATCTGTGACTGCTACCGGCCCTCGTGCCTGCGGTCCGTGCGCAACATTGGGAACTCGTGAAGATCCTGGAAGGCGTGGGGCGTATCACTATCATGACCTCGTGCTCCTCTAAGTACAGCCGACCCGTATAATAAGGATGCGCGGTAAGGCTGCCAGGGCCTTGGAAGGCCCATGTCGACACATTCGAGCGGGGCTGGCCAGCGGAAGTTGCCAGGGATGGGACGAAGGGGCAAGGGTGTAAGGGTGACCTTGTGAAGGTTGCTCATCCTTACTACGCGGGTTGACAGTAACGCCCTGTCGCTCCACCTCTCCAGACACGAGCAAGCCGGGAGGTTCTCCCCTGCCGAGCTGGACCCATCACGCGCTCCGCGACCGTCCCTCCGAATGGAAACTACCGTTGAACTTTGCCTTCTGGAACGGTCAGGAACTTTTTCTTTGGCGCGTTGCGGCGGCGGCGGCCCCGGCGACAGGCGTGTCGCGCTTCGCGAGGCTGGGAGAAACTCAGGACGTCAACGCTTTGAAATTCGAACATGGCTTGCGTGTCGCGCCGAAGTGTGGTGGGGCAGATCAGGCGGCAGAACACGCTGAGCAGAAACTCCCGACCGTATCTCCCCCCCAGGTTGGGCCACTGGCATCGAGAGCAGACATGACGAGGCGCGACAGACCATGACTTTCCAATGAACTCCAAACCCTCATAACCTCGTTCAGCTCGGAGTTGCGCTTCATGTGCCCTTCCACCTCGGCCTCGAGCTCCTCGGGCGAGCCGCTTGGAAGCCGATTGGAGGTGAAATCTGGTGCGAAGGTGCATGAGAGTGGCGTTGGGAAGGAATGTCTGCACATGCGAATGCATCGTCTCTCCTGGGTGTGGATAACTCGTTGATGCGCTGCGCAAGCCAAAAGCGCACAAGAGAACCCGATCCTCGATCATCCAGTCTCGATCCTCGAGCCTCGATCACCCAGCAACGACGACAACGACGACGACAACGGCAACGATGACAACGACGAAGTCTCGACCCTCGATCCTCGAGCCTCGATGGCGACAACGACGGCGACGACAGAGGCGGCAACGACGACGCCCTCGACGGCTGCGGCGAAGATGCTGGCGGCGGCGGCACCGCCCGATCCGCTTCAATGCCCTGCTCGCCCGCTTCAATGTCCCGCCCGCGTCGCCCACCCGACCGACCCGCCCGCTCTTGCCGCAAGATCCGTCAGCATCGAGGGACAGTGGGTTCCGGTCCTGGGGCCCCGCCGCCTACTTCTAGGACCAGCTCTCCGTCCTGCATCTTGTCTGACGGTCCCGGGGCCCGCTGAGGGCCCAAGGAATCCGAAAAGCGGCGAGAGACCTCGAGACCCGCTTCTCTCAAGACCCGTTTCCTTCGTGGCGACCCGACGCCGCCAATGGGACGGGGGTCCGCGATCCATGTTTTCTCATGACGTCGACCGTCGACCCCCAGATGGGGAAACCAGCAGGTACTGATACCGCCACTCCCAGGACCTCTCCTTCCTGGAGTGCGTTCTGACCAGGATTTCGAGGCGAATCCAGCGGTGGCGACGACGGAGGTCCAGGAGGCCCAAAAAGTGGAAAACGAGGGAACCGTAGAGGCGTGGGTACCTTTTCCTCCTCTGACCAGAGGTCTCGAACCATTCCCTGGGAACAGCTGACCAGCTTTCCATCCCGAGTACACGTCGTTCATTGTTAATCGTGCTCATTACTAATTGTGCTCGTTTTTCTAATTGTTCCTGGCCCCCTAGTGGCCAGGAAGAAGCCCAGGATAGAACACTTAGAAATGAGAGGATCTTGGCCCCCCAGGAAGTCAAAGAACTTTCGAAGAATGAGAAGTGAACAATGTGTAGTTCTTTGTGGACTGCCCTGGGGCTCGGCGAGGGCCCCGAGAGGCCGAAGATGGCAGCATCAAGACCGCCCGTGACCCTTCCCGACGCGGGGGGGGCTCAAGAGAGCCTCCGATGTTGCATCCTCGGGGGACCGACGACGACGACGCCGCCGCCGCCGACGACGACGACGACGACGCTGACGAAGACGCTGACGACGCTGACGACGAGGATCAAGACGGATTTGCCTGTCCCGTCAAAGCTCTATCCGTGTCGAATCCATGTCGGCCTCGTCGGATCCGTGTCGGACCCGTGTCGAAACCGTGCCGAACCCGCGCCGATTCCACGCCAGACCCGCGTCGAATCCGCACCGAGACAGCATCGCGAGCCCGCGTCGGGCACAAGAAAAAGGCACCACTTTTCGGGGATGGGCAGAACCCCCTTTAGCAAAACGTGGTTAAGTGGAAACGACCCCGGGCCAAAACCTGGGGGGCGCAAGCCTGGAAAATGACGGCCGCGGCGCCCTCGCGAGAACCGAAAACGGACAATTCACTAGTCGGCGTGTCAGGGTGGGGGTTCTGTCCACCCCCGAACTCTTGGGGACAGGCCTAAGTCGGGCCTGTCCCCCATACAGGCGGATTTTCGACGAAAAAACAAAACATACCCTAAAAATCCGCCGATCCGGCGTGTGAGTTTGAAAGAGCCTTAGATGTAGCCTCAGCTTCAGTTCCTGAGCTTCTGCTCTGCTGGGGGGTGGATGCTGGGGTGGCTCTGCCGGGGTAGGGGGGAGGGGGGGGGGCGCGCTGTGCTGCGTTTTCTGGGGGGGGGGGGGGTTTGGGGGGGGGGGAGGGTCGTGGGAAACACAGCAGAGTGCCACCCCGGATGCCAGAGAGCCCAAAACTGCGGCAAGATATTTCGGAGAAGGCCCAAGATGTACCCAAGACGGCCCAAGATGGCGTCATGACGGCCCAAGAAGCCTTCAGGAGGCCTCTAAGACGGCCCAAGACGTCTCCAAGAGTTCCCAAGAGGCCAGAAGAACGCCCAAAAGGCCCCCCCAAAGGCCCCAAGAGCAGTCCAACAGCACCCCCAAGAGGGGCTCATGAGGCCAACATCGTTTGTTTTCCTATGGTTTTTGACGGATTTTGACATGCTCGCCTTTTCGGGTTTCCGACGCTCCAAGACGGCCCCCAAGATCGCACCAAGACGGCCAAAGAGGCTCCCAAGAGCGCCCCAAAACTGCCCAAGGAGCCCCAAGGCTACTCAAGAGGGCCCCAAGACGGCCCAAGAGGGCTCCATGACTACCTCGGAGGCACCCAAGGCGCTCCGAGAGGGCCCCAAGACGGCCCCAACAGAAGCCCCAGAGAAGGAACCCGACCCAACACTTCGAGTCTTCCGGCGCAAGAGGCTCCCAAGAAAGCCCACGAGCCCTCTCAGAACCCCCCCAGGAGGCCTCGGGGGGACCCCAATCGGCCCCAAGATGCCCAACAGGTCCCGCAATTGCCCCCAAAAGGCCCCCGAACTGCGTCCAACAGGCCTCCGAGAAGCTTCCCAGGACACCCCGACACACATACAAGAGGCATCAAACCCACAACCAAAGCACGGTGGCGGGTTGGGCGGAAAGCCACTAGGACTAAACAAATCTTGTGCGTGTAATCAGATTATCATCATCATCATCATCATCATCATCATCATCATCATCATCATCATCATCATCATCATCATCATCATCATCATCATCATCATCATGATCATCATCATCATCATCATCATCAGCAGCAGCAGCATCAGCAGCAGCAGCAGCAGCATCATTACCACCACCATCGCCCTCCTGGGGCCGTCTTCGGGGGCCTCTTGGGCTGTCCCGGAGCAATCTTGGAGGCCTCTTGGGCGCTCATGGGGCGATCTTGACGGCCTCTTGAGCCGTGTTGGGCCTTCGGAAAGCCGAAAAGGAAGAATCCCCCGAATCCTTCAAAAACCTACAGGAAATCACTGATTTGGGCCTCTTCGGGCGTTCCTGGAGGTCCACTTGGAGGCCTCTTGGGCCGTCTTGGAAGCCTCTTGGGGGCTGCTTAGGCCGTCTCAGGCCATCGTGAGGCGATCCCTCCCTCCAGCTCCCTCCGCCTCATCCTCCTCCACCTCCTCCTCCACCTCCCCTCCCACCAACCGGATCCCGTCGGGAGCGCCCCCGGATCGGCGGCACTGGCAGGAGGCCGCTACAAGATTTCCAAAACATATTCAAAAATTGAGAAAACATGGCCCTCAGACTATTCTTAGTCTATTTCTGAAGACTCCCCCTGTAGAGGGACCCCTGACCCTCCAGAGAGCTATGTTTTAGCACTGGAGACCTAAAAGCCTAAAGAACTGAACGAAACAGCCTAAAACCAAGACGTAGAATAGCTCTGGGATAGGTTTTTAGGTCGGGTGCTACTTTTTAGCCCTCCTGGAAGGTCAGGGTCAGGAGGAGGAGGAGGAGGAGGAGGAGGAGGAGGAGGAGGAGGAGGAGGAGGTAGGGAGGAGGAGGAGGAGGGAGGAGGAGGATAGGAGGAGGAGGAGGAGGAGGAGGAGGAGGAGGAGGAGGAGCAGGAGGAGGAGGAGGAGGAGGAGGAGGAGGGAGGAGGAGGAGGAGCAGGAGGAGGAGGAGGAGGAGGAAAAGGAGGAAGTGAGGCAGGCCCGACCTCAGGGCAGGCGCGGCCCCCCCGAGGACGCCACGGACAGCACGGCCTCGGCCTGCCGAGCCTGCCGCTGCCCGCGCGGGGGCCGGCGGGCCGCGCTCCGCGATGCGCGAGGCCAGCGCCGACTGCTCCACCTCGGAGACTGCGCTCAGCGTCCGGTCCATCAGCAGCGGCGCGCCCTCGGGGCGGCGGCGACGGCGACGGCGACGGCGAGGGCGACGGCGACGGCGACGGCGACGACGACGACGACGACGACGACGACGACGGCGGCTCGTCACGGTGGGGGGGACGCCCGCGCGGGCGTGCGCGGCCCGGCCTCCCACGGCGTGGCGCGGGGGCACCGCGAGCAGCGCACGGGCGGAAGCAGAGGCGACCCTGAGATCTCACTCGCGAGCCTTTCCCCGCGGGGCCGCCCTTCGAGGCCGATGGGGTCGGAGGACAGTCGGGGCGTTGACCTAAGGAACCCGAAATAATGAACGAGGCCCCTTTTTTCCATAAGTTAGCCTTCGATTTCCCGTCGAAGACACAAGGAAAGCCTGAGGCAAGCTGCGAAACACTTGAGGAACGCGGAGCCCCTCCCCAACGAAAAGGGCTCCTTCTTCAGGGCCCCGACTGTAGACGGGGCCTCGCGGGATCGCGGCGCCTCGCCGATGCATCGCTGGTGCGGCTCGATGTGGAGCCCGGTCTTCGCCACCCCCACGGCGCCGACGCCTCGCCCAGAGAGGCGGCATTTTTCCGCCCAAATTCGGGCCCCGGGGCGCTCACAGATCGAGCCGGGTGCAGGGCTCGAGTCGGGATGCTTCCGATGTCCCAACCCTGCCATCGCTCGGACGACTCGGACGTCCATTCCCTGTCTTTTTTTCGGTTTCGTGCGTCCATCGCCATCGCCATCGGGCGACCCTCGCACAGGCCCCCCTCCGAAAGTTCACCCCCCTCCGCTCGAGGACCAGACCCTCTGGCGCCAATTTCTCTTGGGAGCGCCCTCGATCCGTGCGCGCGCCACGGGTGCAACATCCCACCCCCCCCCCTAGAAGGGCGACCCTCTCACAGCCCCCAACGCGGCCCCGGAGGCCCCCCTCGCGCTGAGACCCTCGGGCGCCAAGTTCTTTCGGGAGCGCCCTCGATCCGTGCGCGCGCCACGGGTGCAACATCCTACCCCCCTCCCTGCAAGAGGCGACCCTCGCACAGCCCCCCTCCGAAAGTTCACCCCCCTCCGCTCGGGGACCAGGCCCCCCCCCGCCTCATTGCTGCGGGCGATGCGCTGCAAGCGACGCAGCTCAAGGAAAATCCATGAGACGACAAAAACACCCGTCCTGATCTTCGGCCATCAGGTCTGACAGCAATAGCTTTGCCTCCTGGGTGTTAGCTCCCAATCCTGACTACAAAAACACCCGTCCTGATCTTCGGCCATCAGGTCTGACAGCAATAGCTTCGCTTCTTGTGTGCTAGCTCCCAATACTCACCCTCCTCTTTTCTTTTTCATTGGCCACGCAAGGAGCATTGCAGGCCGCCCGTTGTTTCAGCCAGGACTTCTGCGCGAGCCGCCTCCCACGAGAGTCAAATGTGTCCACCGCGCCGGCTCCTAACGTGTCCAACGCCTCCTTCCCCTTCCCAGCGAGACCCCCTTCCCCCTCGAAACCGAAAGTCGGGGGGGGGGGGTTCTACCCACCCGCCCTCCCCACGCCCGCACGGGACGGTGCCGCGCCCTTCTTCGGCGCACCTCTCATGCGAGGCGGGGATTTATCCGCATCCACCGCCTGGGAATCGACGTCCTGGTGCCCTAGCGGGCGGTGGATATGGACCTGCCCCCCCGACTGGATCCCCGCCCCCCCGACTTTCGGCCCCTGGGGGCCCGAATATGTCCATCTCCACCGCCTGCCGAGACTCCGAAAACTGACCCTCCAGGCGGCTGGCCATCGCTCGGACGTCCATGCCCTGTTTTTTTCGGTTTCGTGCGTGGTTCGTTCGCCAAACGATCAAGGATGCTCCTCGATGGTCCTCGCCGGAGGAGACATGCACACGTCCGAGCGATGCCAGGGGCGGTGGTCACGCATAGACTCCCGCCTCGGACTCTCGCGCGTGCCGTGGACCCGCGGAGACGCAGCGGGCACGCCCGCAGGCCGGCGAGGCGCGCTCCCGTCGCCGCCCCCCCTCGCGCGAGCCCTGCCGCCCCCGTGGGCGTGTGTCCACGCGGTGGACGCGCCCATCGCGCAGACCGTGCCGCAGGAGGAGCGCCCCCGCACGAGCGAGGGTGTCCGCAAGCGGGCCACTGCGCGTTCCGACCGGGGCCATGGCTGGGGCAGCTGTGGTCCTTGCCCCCCCGGGGGGAACCCATCGCATCGACGACCTCTCTCTCGAGAGGGGCGTCGAGATCGATGGATCCCCCCCGGGGGGGGAAGGACCACAGCTCCCCCACTTGTGGCTGGCCTGACATCCCAGACCCCCGACGTCATGATTTTTTCATGACGTCGACCCCCAAAGATCTCGACCCATTCCCCGGGACCGGTTTTTCATCCTGAATCGTTTTTTGACGGTCCCGAGGGCCGGCTAGGGCCTCCAAAGGCCGAAAATTAGGAAAAACCTCCCGTCATGATTTTTTTTCATTACTCGAGGGGGTCTGGGATTGTGGCACGCCCACCGCGCGAGTTGTGGCCCTCGGGGGGTTCCCCTTCGGGCCTCCGTGGCGGCGCGGCCGCATGCGGGCCCGCGCCCGATGCGGCACGCCCCCTTTCCTTCGTCAGGGCGAGCGACGGGCACCACGAGACTCCTCCCCCTCCTCCTCCTCCTCCTCCTCCTCCTCCTCCTCCTCCTCCTCCTCCTCCTCCTCCCCCTCCTCCTCCTCCTCCTCCGGGATGCACCATTGGGGGCGAGTGCGAGGCGGGGCTTTCTCCAGATCCACCGCCTGGGAACCGACGTGTTGGGGACCCAGCGGGCGGTGGATACTGACATACTTGGGCCCCTGGGGGGGGCAACCTACCTCCACATCCACCGCCTGTGGAGGTCCGCGAACATCGATCCTCTTGGCGACGGTTATGTGTAGAAGCCCCCGCCTCGAAGTGAAGAGGCTTGCGTCATCGCTGACGGCGGCCAGAATTGGTGCGTCGTCCCCTGCCTGCCCCATGCGATATCCTTGTTTTGCTTTTAAAACAGCACCAAGCAACCCATGAACCACCAGGTGTCGGCGTGCCCAGGGCAGCCTTTGGCCAGAAGCAAAACGACGCCGAGAAGGCAGGGAAGGGCGCAAGATTCTCGCGCCCACGCGCCCATGCGTCGATATGGTTATGGCTAAACGGCGCCACTGAATGCCCGCTGAGAGGAGCTTCGCCTCATTCTCCTCGTTCTCATGTTGTTCGCCCCCCTCCCCCCCCCCACCTCTCGGCACCCCCCCCCCCCCTTCTGATCACGATCCTCCAAAAACCTGCCTCATCCTTCCCCTCATCCTTCTCATCACCCCACCTCCTCCTTCTCCGTTTGCCCTGCACGCTTTCCTTCTACTTCCCCCCTCTTCCTTCTCCACTCCTTCACACTCACCCAGTTCGACACTCAAGACAATGACTCCCACCATCCCTTCCTAACCCCCGACTCTCCCCTCCTCACTTCTCCCTCCTCTCCACGTCCTCATATCATTTATCCTGACGCTCGTTGCACAGATTGCCCCCCTCCCGCTGCATCTTGCTCCTCCTCCTCCTCCTCCTCCTCCTCCTCCTTCCTCTCATCCTGCTCTTCCCCCCCCCTACTCCTCCTCCTCCTCCTCCACCGCCGCCTGCTCCTCCTCCTGCTCCTTGTTTCCTCGGTACCTCTTTCCACCTCCGGACCTCCGTCTCCTCCAGGCCCACCCCCGCCCTTCCGTTCATCCCATCCGCACTTCGTCATCCCATCTCTCTCCTGAAGATGGCGATCAGAAGATATGTCTGCATTGATGGGGGGGGGCAGGAGGATAAGCAGAAGGAGAAACAGGAAGACGCTCTTTCATGGCCCGGGGGCCCAGCCGGAGGCGTGAACCTACAGCTCCAGAACCTTGGGCAGATCACCGGCCGCCCGTGACTCTCTCGCCAGCGCAGAGGAAGGACTGGGATCTGGGCCTCCTCGGGCCCCGGGCCTGCCTCGGAGCGCGCCCAGACCAGGACTCCAAGGCCGACGCAGCTGTAGCCACGAGGAGCCGCGAAAACCCTGAACGCCTCCGCAAAGCCTCCAGGGTTGCGTATGGAACCAGAGCCATTCATAAGGAATGGGGTGGAAGGATGCAAGGCCAAGTCACCTGGAACGAGCCACAGGGCCAGGGTACGCTTGGTCCGAGGAAGCAGGAAGCATGCAGAGGATGCCCAGAATCGAAGGACGGGTACCTTGCTCCTTAGGCAAATCCTCAACACCGTTTCTGACCTAACAGCCATCGTGCTACCACAAGTTACGCTGAGTAAGGACCGCAGGGGCTGTTGTGGCCACGGCTGACTTTTGCCACGCGTAGGCTACCCGACCCAATTGGGAGGAACGGCCCCAAACCAGAGCCCTCGTGAGCCCAAAGTGGTCCTCATTTCTGACAAGAACAAAGAATGGCATCACCATGATTTCTCGGAGGCCTGCGCGGATCTCTTGGATCGGCGCTGGACCCACCTCCCTCGCTCGCGGAACGCGCCAGGGGCGGCGGCGGAGGCGCCGGCGGAGGGGTCACAGCGCCAATCCAAGAAATCCGCCAGGACCTCCTTCGGATCTATCGTTTAACCGATCCCTATCCCCACTGTCGTGGCCTGGGCCCCACTGGCCGATCCACCCATGTACACACATATGTGTACATTTGTATATGTACATACATACATAAAGACATACATTCATTCATTCATTCATTCATTCATTCATTCATTCATACATACAGACAGACAGACAGACAGACAGACAGACAGACAGACAAACGTGCATACATACATACTTACATACGTATGCACACAGGCCGCTCCCCTCGGGCTTCGAGGGGCCTACCCCCCATTCGGGGTGGTGGGACTGTGGGGCCGCGAACTAAGTGGCCCGGCGGGCATGGGGACAGTCTGAACGGCACCGCCACGCGCCGCCCCTCGGGCCCGCGTCTCCTGCATTTGTGCCAGGCGCTCCACAATGGGCTCCAGCAGGTCCGACGTCGCCTCTCGCGCGCGCCGGGGGCGGGCCACCGTGCCGGGGCGGAGCAGGCCCGCGGGGGGAGGAGCGGGGTTGCCGGGCCCTCCGAGCTGCTCCCTGCTGGCAACAGGAGTTTTCAGGGATCCGTGCTGGCCTGGAGCCGCTCCGTGCTTTGCTTGGGGAAGCCGAGGTGCCTCCAGAATCCGCCGCGCCCTGGAGTCTCGGGATCCCTTCCCCGGAAACCAGGGGCGCAGCGGGTATGGATACAGAGCTCGCCCCCACGGGGCCGGAGGAGGAGGAGGAGGAGGAGGAGGAGGCGGAGGCGGAGGAGGAGGAGGAGGAGGAGGGGAGGAGGCAGTGGACCCACGATCCGAAGGAGGAGGAGGAGGAGGAGGAGGAGGCGGAGGAGGAGGAGGAGGAGGAGGAGGAGGAGCAGGTATGGATGCCGATCTGGCCCCCACGGGGCCAGACGTTTGTGCACACCCGCGGCGCCCTCGGCCTGCCAGCGCCCCCTCCTGCAGAGGGCCCAGGGCGCAGCGGGTATGGATATATAGAGCTCTTGCCTGTACTCCATGAGCGTGTTGCCGGATCGCGGTTCCTCCTCCTCCTCCTCCTCCCTCCTCCTCCTTCCTCCTCCTCCTCCCTCCTCCTCCTCCTCCTCTCCTCCTCCTCCTCCCTCCTCCTCCTCCTCCTCCTCCTCCTCCTCCTCCTCCTCCTCCTCCTCCTCCTCCTCCTCCTCCTCCTCCTCCTCCTCCTCATCCTCCTGTAGGGACCCCACAAAGGACGTACGCGCCCAGCTGTGCACATGAACGCGGCCACTTGACCCGCGAGACCTGCCGCGTGATACGAACATTCGTGCAATGCGGACTCTCGAAAACAGCGTGGATTCGTGTACGTGTACGTCCTTCTTTCGCTCCTGAGGTTAAAATGGGGTGCGGCTGGTTCCCGACGCCCCCCCCCCCCTTCTCGGAGGGCGCTCCCTGCCGCCCCCCCCCCCCCCCGCCGGCGAAGGAGGAGGAGGAGGAGGAGGAGGAGCAGGATGAGAGGAGCAGGAGGAGGAGGAGCAGGAGGAGGAGGAGGAGGGAGGAGGGAGAGGAGGAGAGGAGGAGGGGAGGAGGGAGGAGGAGCAGGAGGAGGAGCAGGAGGAGGAGGAGGAGGAGGAGGAGGAGGAGGAGGCGCGCAAGCCGTTCAGTCTTGAGCAGACTTCTGCCATCCGTGCGACGCCAGAATAACGATGTCCATGTCAACTGCCGCGGGGTCGCGTCCCGGGAGCTCGGGGAGCGATGGACGTGGACAGCTGACCGCCCAGGCGGGCGGACAGAACTGGATCCACCCATCCTCGACAGCCCCAGACCCCCCTGAGCAATGAAAAAATCATGACGGGAGGCTCTCCCCAGATTTCGGCCTCCCAGGGCCCTCACCGTGCTTCGGGAGCGTCCAAGAGCGACTCGGGATGCAAAGCCGGTCATGGGAAAGGGTCGGGACCCTCTGGGGGTCGACGTCATGATAAAAATCATTACGTCGGGGGTCTGGGGAGGCCCCCCGCACACCTCATGGCACCGACCTTGCAGACGTGCTGCAGCGGATTTCTGCGTGGATGTCTGCCAACGCATAACCCCGAAACGGGAAGCGGAAAACGAAGCGACTGTCACGCGGATTGTTATAGTCTTCGTTCCCGGCCAAGAAAAACCCGCACGAAATTCACTTCGAAATCTGGAGCGAAGTTCTCCCAGGGTGAAGGGGAACTGGAACACACAAATGAATACACACAAATAAAAATATCCCCCATGTTTTCCCATATTTTCTGGGTTTTTGTCTTCCCCACCACTTCCCATATTTTTGCATATTTTCCTGGGAGTCGACGATTAATTGTGTCTCTGTGTTTCTTTCCCTCCTGATAGGGCGCGGCGCCCAAGCGGAGGACATGGACAGCTTCTGGCGGCGGGGCCCGACGGCGGAGGCCGGCTCCAGGCCTGCCCTCTGCAGGCCGCGGGCGGCCTTCGGCCCTGCGCTCCCGCCTCCCCGCCGCGCCGTCGCGGCGCGGCCTCTGCCACAGGGAATGTCAGGAGGGAAAGAAACACACAGACACAATTAATCGTCG